CATGGAAGTCTTCGTCTTGACTCCAGATGAGGTTGACACGAATTCTGCATTCACGCGGGGGCTCTGCCCTTAATACGGCCTGATATGGACATGGGAACATAAGTTGGAGCTAGATACAATAACACAGGCTTGGAAATGGCAAAGATGATATTGAATACAGTAACCTGAATAAAGTTTACGTTTTCCGGCCTATCCAACGTCATTAACGGCATATCATGGATACTGAAACCGTTCCTCCAGAGAGTTAGATCTGGCGTGATTACTTGAGGCCTTTCTTCACTTTCCTGATGGTCTTGCTCCATCGTCCCACTTAACACAATACAAGATAGGTACAAAACTATTATATAAGCAAGGTTGAGTCTTTAAAGGACTTGAAAGGAAACCCATCAAGACAAGTTTCGAGAAATTCACAATATATCCATCTTCTCCAAAAGCACATTTTTCCCTAATGTTCTCATCTAAGAATTACCTTTGATCTCCTCGGCCGTAGTTCTCCTGCGGTTCATAAGAATCGGAGGACACACGGATGTCCCCGGCGGGTTGACCCGTTGACGTGGCAAGAGAAGGAGGTGATGAAGCTGGTGGTTCAGAAGAGACAGAGTCTGATCCTAGAGTTCTTCCTACGCCTTGGAATGGAGGAACCTGTTGTTAAAGATACATAAACCAGAGCTTTAACTTCACTACTGAACAAATTAACATTAGAGAAAGAGGAACAAGGCATATATATATACATGGTAGTCTTCGTCTTGACGCCTGATGAGATTGAAACGAATTCTTAGTTCACATGGTGACTTTAGCGTTTTTAAGTACTGATATATGGACATGGGAACATATGTTAATCCAAGTGAATCAAGTAGAAAATAAACAATAACACAGCTTAATTGTTGTATAGTAACCTTAATAAAGTCTTCGTCTTTCGGGTCGAACGTCTTGAACGTCGGACCATCATTGACAGTGCAACCGTTCCTCCTCAGAGTTAAAGAGAGCGTCAGTATGTCATTAGCATCATCATCTTCACGACCTTGTTGAGTATCTTGCACCATCGTCCCACTAAAACACAATACAGATTCAAATACCCTTTGTTATCTTTAAGATTGAGTCTTTAAGGACTTTGAAAGAAACCCATCAAATTCAGCAATACACAAGATCGTGAAAGCTTACCTTTGATCTCCTCCGACGTAGTTCTCCATGGGTTCATCGGAATCTTTAGCAGTTCCGCCGGATGTATCACCGGAAGTACGGATGTCCCCGGCGGGTTGACCCGTTGACAGGTTAGGGTATCTGGCGCGAGAAGGAGGAGACGGAGATCTCGACCGTATCAGCGACGTCGAAGGATCGTAATCGATTCCAAGATTCCAAGACGACGGAGCTCGAGCATTGAGGATTCCTGGGTTTTGTTGGTCGCTAGAGATAAAGATATTTGACTCGACGGCGACATTGTTTTGAACGAAGGCGGAGACAGCATCGTCGAGATTCCAGTGATGAGATTGAAGAAAGGATCGAGCTTCTTCTCTTTGTTGGAGTCTCACCAAACACTTTGGTTCAGTTAGAGAAATCACATTCACAAGTCTCTGAAAGTAAACGTCAAAGACAAACAAATGAGATTGAGAAGAAGAAGAAGATATCACGTGAGTAACATGTGCAGACAAAGTCTCGTACAAGACGAAGCAAATGGAAAATTGGCTTTTCTATTTTGGAAATTAATTATTTATATTTTTAGTTAATGATAATGAAATTTGCTTTAAACAATAATGTTAAGGGTTTTAGCTACAAGTATGTAAGCTCTTAGAGCTAACGATTTATCAATAATATTCAGAGTTTTCATCAATTCTTACCTTCTACTTTAATGTTTTTTTCTTCTTCTGAGAATAATTTAGTGTTCTTCGTTTCCTACCACAAATCAAACACTCTTGACAAAGATGTGAAATGAGTAAACGAACTGATCAAATTCTCTCTAGCCTCCTCCGTCGTCGGAGAGTTATCATCAGCCATCGCAAGATTCGTTTTCTTCTTCTCCGGTTAAAACTAACGAATACCTCTCTGTATCCTCTTAAACAGAACAAAATGCTTCGTTTTTTTATAGAGTTCTTGAAAGAGAGAAATGAAACATTTTTTATTATATAGTAATGTTTTTTTAAAATTTTACAAAAATACAAATCCAATCCATCGATGGATTATTTACTGCTTATCCATTTACACTTCGTCTAATTATATGAGAATAATTTTTTCTTTAGTTGTAGTAAGCAAACAATTTATTGTTTTAAACCATATTATACTTGTTAAAATAGTATGTCTTGTATTTAATTTAAAAAAATACATCATATACATTATAGTAAGAAATTATAAGGAAAATTATAAAGATATGTGGTCGGGATCGATTACAAATTATATGTTTAAATTTGGAAAATTACCCCACATTGAAAATGACTTTGTCCCAATACACTTAAATCTGTAGAAAAATATCTCGTTTTTACCCTTCAATTATCTTTTAAAAAAAAATTCGTGTTAATTTTTAATTATTTTTTAAATAAATAATACAAAGAGTATTAAAAATCAGAATCATAAAACATTAAGGGTTCTTCTTCTTCACGACAAAAAAAAAAACAAAAGCACAGAGCTTCGTCGTCTCCGCCGAGGGTCCCGAATCCATCTTCTCCGTTCATAAC